AGCAGACACAAAAATAAGAATAAATGATCTCACCTTGATCTCTACCTGGAGTCTCAGCTCCTTGATAATTCCCTTCACTTTTTTCTCTTTTGCCTTAACACCTTCCCATTCCCTCCTCCACCTTGGTTACTTTTCTACCAAAACACCGTAGGGGTGGAAATAAAACTCTGTTTGAATTCTTATCCTACAAGTATTGCACAATCAAAAGTGAAGATGATCCCTCCTACTCTCTCTGCTTTCCAGTGGACTGAGTGATTTCTAAGTGCCTCTTCTAGGTAATTAAATAAACAGATCTACATTTTGTACCAGTTTTATATTCACGGTGGAATGGCAGCAACTAATTTTAAAATTAAATATAAACCAATTGTGACCACTGCCCCAATTCCTGGTTCATCAGCACCTCCACTGTGCCTTCATGTTACAATGTAATTAGCCGGTGCATGTGTATGCAGATAGGTCTATGTGTTCCCACAGTTTTTGTCTGAGAATTAATGAAGCAAAGAAACTTCACAAGAACACTCGAGGTATTTTTCTAGAATAATCTTTCTAAAACAAACCTAATTATATCATATCCCTGCTTGAAATTTGAGTAGTTTATCACTATCATAAAAATAAAATCCCAAACCCTTAACAAGGATGTTAAGATTCTAGCTCTCACCCATGCTTGTCCTAGTATCCAGTGCGTGGCACGCTGCAAGTTAAAGTGAATGCCTTGTGGTAGTTTGAAAGCTTTGCCCCTCTTTAGCTGGTCCCTCTTTCTTCTCCCTCTTTACCTGTGTAACTGCAATTCATCCTTTAAGCCTCATCGTAGATGTCACTTCTCCTTGGAGAGAATCTCCTTTGACGTGACCCCTTGCCTCTTCTCTGTGTTCCTGTAGCCTGTCTCCCTTACCCATTAGTCTCTGCAACTCTCTGTGGCCATTATGTATTCAGTGGCCAGACTTTCTCACCTCTGCAATTGCCTTGAGGACCGGGGCCTTGCCTACCCTTTTTAGCAATGCATACTCAGCAGTAAGCAAAATGCCTAACTCATACCAGATCTTAGTAAGGAAATGTTGAATGAATAAGGCCAGTCTGAGTTATTATTGAAAAAGCTGCCATTCCCTCTATACTATTTCCCACAACTGACATTGTTTAATTTAAATTACATTGTGCTACATTTCTTCACTCTTTGTAAATATAATTAGCATTGTAATTTATAGAATTTTCTGCTTGATTATGTTTTTGAAAGTATTGTTTTCATTATGCTTTTCTTTTTTTCCTAGTTATATGATAATCACTAGAATACTTTTAAAGAATTACAGTTTTATTATCAGGTACACACAATTACTTGAATTCATAACACAAATCAAATTGCTTTACTTCCTAGGTTGTAGTTATTTTAATTGAATGCAGATTTTTAAAACATTTTTGAACAATTTTTAAGTGAACACTGTTGTATTTCTTTTTTTAACTGTTGATTTGCTTATTAAATTATTTTAACTGATATGATACAAAAGTAACACTCATGCTCCTTCTGTCAAGATATAACTGGTATAATTAGAAATAATAAATATTTCCTGCTGCTCATTTATTAAGTAGAAGAAATATTATTATTCATGTTTAGACTGTGACATTTCACAGGCACTAGAACAACGATTTTGCGGGAAGGGAAGGACAGGCTTGTGAAGGAGTTGCTCCACATAAATGTTGAGGGCACAGGAAATAAAGATTCTCGTACTTTTGTGAGGAATATTTAGGACTGCAGCTTTCTGATCACCGTTCACCCTGTTCATCCACATCATGCAGTTTTATTTCCAGACCCCAGAAAGGAAAAGGAACTTGTGATGGGGAGCCAGATGGAGCAGCAGAAGCTGGGAGAGGCCATGAACGCGCCTCAGCACTGCCTGAGGCGGGTCAGCCCCCAGCACAGCAGGGTCCGCTCCACAGGCTTGGGGTGAGCGAGTGCCTGCAGGTCACCTCTGGCCAGGCGCAGTCTACAACCACAGTCACCAGCAACAACAACAGGAAAAACCCAGGCCAGATATCAGGCAAGCTGCTGGCTTTCTCTTTTCAAGTGGGCTTTGCAGGGAATTCACACACACACACACACACACACACACACACACACACACACACACACACACAAATCCTAGCAAAAAAAAAAAATCCCAGTACAGCTAAACAAAGAGAATCCTTCAAAATTCTCTGTAAATGCAATACGACAAGTGCTTGGTAGACAAAATAATTGAAAGGTATAAAATCCAGGAGTTGCTTTATGGATGTTTTTCAGTGCCTTTTTAGCTGTTAGCATTTCCTAACACCTTACCTGTGGGAGATTAATGATCTCACACACAACTTTAGCAACGAACGCTTCAAAATATATTCACCAAGTAATCCCAGTTGAATATTTACTCTATCACATCTGGTTCTCCTCAATTTTATGAACTGTTGGGTTTAACATCAACTCTAATTTTGGGAAGAAGGTCATCTACAGTGAGAGGGAGGGGCTTTGACCTGTGGCAAAGGGGATTTAGGGTTCCACTGTACTCAATCATATGACTTTTATAGTATCTGTATTCATAGATGAAGGTTTACTCCTATGATGTGCTTCTCTGTGTGGGTGGGAAAAAGGCAGGAAACCACACTTTCTCTTCTAGCATCATATATGATACTTGGTCTTATAAACGGAGATTGTTTTTTAAAAAATGAAATGCAAATAAACATTTTATAAGGCTCATTTCACTTTAAAATTGTGGGCTTCCTGTTTAGACTACACACACACACACACACACACACACACACACACACACTCACATCTCACATAATATTAAACCCTGGGGAGAAACACATTTCAGGCCTCAACTTTATGTCAAAAAGTAATCCTTTTCTTCAGGTTAGAAGTTATTTTGATTTTAAATCTATACTCCCAGGCAGAATTTCTTGAGGGTCTAACTGGTTTTATTTTTTACCCTTCTTTTCAGCATGACATGAACTGTATGTAGCTCAGGTCTTTGAATTGCTATAGCTGTAGTTATAACACGAATGTGAATAAAGCTAAATAATTAAACCAGTTTGAGCTTTTCTAAGCAGACTGAGCATATAGAAAGATAAATGAGTTAGTGTTTCTTTTTTTTCTTTGATCAATGTGATAGGCCATCCATAGTAAATGATGGTGATTAGAGAAGGACTTGCCAGAAAAATGCTCAAGTAATTTACGACCAGGGAGCAGAGCTGAATGGCCCCATTAAAAGAGGTTTACTGCACTTTGAGGACTTCCTGTAGCCCTTAGGCTAACAGTTCCTGGGTTAGGATTTATGCCTGTGCCCCATCTCCTGCCACTCTTCTCTCTCTGCTCCAGCTTCACTGCCTCTCCAAATTCCTCGAATGAGCTGTGCTCTTTCCTGTGTGTTAGATAGTCTACCAGGAACCTTCTTCTATACCAATCCCTCCCCTCTCTCCTCATTTCACTAATCCTTTGAATTTCAGATCAGACGTTGCTTTCTTAGGAAAGCTATTAATAAGTGCCCTTCTCCCACCCACACTCACATACACAATACACACCAGACTGTTAGGCTCTCAAGCCCTTCTCCCTCTAGTTTTGGTCACTTCTCCTTTATCTTCATAGCTTTTAAAATTCTTCTTTAGTGTTTGTTTTCCCCCACAAGCCTGTAACAGTAGGGGCAAAAGACAGCCTGTCCCATTCTCAATTGAATTCTGAGCATAGCAGAGCACCTCGCACATAGATGGAAGGAAGAAAGGAAGGAAGGAAGGACTTTTTCTTAGAACATTTACTTTCAAAAATTTTTCCAAGTCTTTTGCAAGTTTTATAACAGAGAATTTTCTCTCTCAGGGAACTGGGAGCCATCCCTATAAAATGGAATCACCAAAAATGATAGCAAACTCTACCCCCAGTTTCTGTGGGAAGGTGGGAGCCTAACTTACATAAGGGACAATTATCAAATACAGATATTGACCAAGTTCCCCTCAGTGTCCTCCAGCACATTCTCACTAGCTCATCCAAGCACTTAAAAACCCTCTCACCTTTTGTTCTTGAAGATTGGGTTTAGTCTTTGGCCTATTGGAATAGTCTTGAATAAAGTCTTCTTCGCCTGTTTAATTCTGTTCAATGCAATTTTTCTTTGACACCCTGTTGGGGAAGGGTCACAACCATTCACATGAGGGTTGGCCTGGCTTATACATACACTTGAATTAAACTGAGGCTACATCATTTGTGACAGATAAGAATGTTCTAGAAAGTGACCAAATAATAAAAATTCAACCCTACTGAATAAAATATCAGTGAACTCCCATTTAGTGAACAGGAAGATTATTTTATTTTTGAGAGTGAGATTGTTTTCTTTTATTGCTGTGATTTTGAAATAGTATTAGAAGGGGAAAAGCATCTGGTCATTACTAAGCAATGCTAATTTGAACAATGCCTAAGAGCAAAATCTGTGGTTGTCATGTTTGGAAGCTAAATCATTGTTCCACCTCGTGCAATGCAGCTTGTAGAATAGTCTTGATTATAACCTTGCAACCTTGCTGAGCTCTAATTGTGAAGGCCCTAAGTACTTGAGTCTTATTTCCTTCTGACCTGGATGGGAACTGATAGGCTTTGTGGTCTAGTTGTAAAGAACACTGGGCTTCAGAGCCAGATTGCCTGGACCCCTACCCCAATTTCACCTAGACCCTAGAACATCTTCTAATTCAGTAAAAAATTGAGTAACACAGAACCTGATGGCTAGTAAATGCTCAATAAGTGTTAGTTCTTATGATTGGTAGTATCATCATCTTCATCATCGTTTTCACTATTGTGAAAGCCAAACAGGATTATTATTATTTCATAACTTTTTACTCTCCACCATAAGAAGTCATTCATGGGTAGCGATGCTGACTTAACATAGACTTTAGCCTTGCTGAAGTGCTTCATTCCTGCACAACTCTGAGCTCTTTTTGTGAGATGTTTATCTTTCTCTCTCCCCATCCCAACCCCTGAATTTTCTTTCTTTTTTTTTCAGTGATGGATGGGCAGACCGAGATGAAGTCATTGAAGGTTATGAGGTGGAAGCCAACGGGGGAATCACAATAAAGCTGCAGTCTCCAGAGGTCAGGTCATTTGACGATTATTTCCTGAAACTAAGGCTGGACACTAATACAAGGAATCCTTGGTTCCCTGAATTCTGGCAACATCGGTTCCAGTGCCGCCTACCGGGACATCTTCTGGAAAATCCCAACTTTAAAAGAATCTGCACAGGTAACTCTTGTCCACAGAATCACAACTCAGAGGTTTGGTCATCTCCTACAATCCCATTACAGATTGTTGAGTGAGAGTAGAAGGTGAGGCTGGAGATGCAAAGACTAAAATGCCATCTTCATTTATAAAATAGCTGGAGTGAGGAGGGAGTATATTGCCCCATGGATTTATGTTTCTATATTCTGGAAAGACTGCTTTGGCCTCTGGTAGAACAAATGATAAGAGGAAGTTACACCAGGAAAGGGAAAGCAACCTGAGAATTCAGGTATTCCAGAGGGAAGAAATTTTATTGTAGGCATGCTTAGTAAGTGCTAGCCATAGACATAAGTATGCAGCTCCGGTTTGATCCCTTTTTTCTTCTTTGTGACTTGCTTCAACATACAAGTCAGGAGAAGATGAGATAGTGTCACCCAGGGCCACACCACCAACATGGGTTTATGTGGGCATAGGTGGCAAGAAACGCTGCGTTCGCATCTGTAAACTAGAATGCCAGTTCCTAGCAGATTGGTGGCTTCCCATGACTCTCTTAATGGCACATTGTCCCAGGTCTTTCAGGGCCTTGGTCAACTCTGCAGCATGTCCTCTTTATCCCCAGCCTCTTCTTCTTAACATGATAACTTTTATGAGTATTATCACTACTGCACAGAGACATTGCTGTCCCCGGTCCATGCTGCAAAGATAGTTCATCTGTGGTCCACCGTGGTGCCATTCAAAGCCAGTTGTCCATACTAGGTTGATAACAAAGCATGATGTACAGGCATTAAGGACTCTATCCATGACCAAATTTATATTGTAACCTAGTTGTGTGACATATATTTTCTGTAACTAGGCCCAGCAGATATTATTCAGAAAAGTCTAGAGCCCATTTATTCATATAACACTCATATAGAACACTGTACACAGTGAGAGAGAGAAGTACAAGCATACCCTCATAATCCATGGCTCTAGGCCTAGAAAAACTTGTCTCTGTGAGCAAATCAAAACACATCATACCCACGATATAGAAATAAATAACAACCAAGGACAGTGAGATTTTTAAGACAAGAAAAGGAGACGGTTAATTAAATGAACTATTTCTAATTTTAATAATGTTCACACTTTGATGTTAGAAATTATTTAAAATATCACTATATTTAAATGCAGTCATATGTATCTGACTTGATAAAATTCAACAGCTCACTGAGAAATTGCCTGGCATGAATGTATTTTCAACCATTCAAGGCTTTTAGAACGTCCTCAGTGTGGCTTCCTGGGAGGCTGAGAGTCAGGAGTGGGGGAAGAGAGGTGCCCAACAGCTAACCCAGTATCACATATGAATCCCATCTGATGCTCCTTTCTCTCAAATAATAGGTCAGCAGAAATTAAAAACTCCAATGGATCAATAAACCCCCTCATGCTTTCATCTTATTTGCAGAATAAGACATTGAGGGTAGAGGGGCAACAGTTTCCTCAGGCGCACATAGTCAATAGTAGCAGTGGAATCAGAACACACACCTCCTGACCGCAATGCTTGACTTAGTATTTAGTCATATGTAATCTTTTATTGTTCTGTAACTGTTCCCTAATGAATTTTGTTTTCTTTCTTAAGTTGTGAGATCTTTAAAGATAGAGAGTACTTGCAACCCTCATAGAACCCCATATGACATTGACTCTGGAATCTCAGTCAGTTGTTAGAAAGCAATTGATAAGTTAATCGATATTCTTTTAGTGTAATGAGGCAATGCATTTTACTTTTTTTTTTTTAGAAAAAGTTAAGGGCCTTTATTTTTAAATAAAATATATTTAACTCATTCAACATAATTTATTGAGTAGCTACTGTACACAAGGCTTTATTCTAAGAGTTGGAAATAGAGCAGAAAACAAAAAAATGCAAAAGGAATGTTATCAATAATCTTACACACAAGGGCTGGGAAATAAAGAATAAACAAAAATAGATTAAATAAAATATATTTTCACTTAATTGATCCAAAGGGCACTGGAGAAAGTAAAGGATGAAGGTAGTGAAAATGGGATAGAAGAGTTGCAGTTCAAAAGAGAATGGGCATAAAAAGTCTCATGGAGAAGCTGACATGATTACAGATGTGCAGGCTAGGAGAGACGGAGCCATGTAAACACTGGGGACGAGCATCCCCAGCAGAGGGAGCGGCGAATATAAAGAAGCACCAGCATGCCTGGCTTCGTGGAGGGATAGCAAGGAGCCCAGGCTGGCTGGAGCCAGTGAGTACGTAGTAAAGCGGGAGAAGGATCAGAGAAGCACGCAGAGGTGCAGCCTGCGCAGGACTTAACTGGCTCTTGTGAGGACATTATCTTTGTTCTGAGTGTGACAGAAACCACTGGGAAGTTCAGGCACAGCAGACATAGGGTTGCCTTACTTCTTCTGAAAAATAAAAATCACTCTTTCTGAAGTTTTTAAGCTTTGACAGAGGGGGACAGGCAGAAGGAAGCAGCACAATGACAAGGCCACCGTCACAGTGCAGTGGGGCCAGGGTAGCAGCAAGCACGACGGAGAGAAGTGGCTGAATTCTCAGTGTATTTGAACTAGAGTTGGGGAGATTTGCTCACAGCATTGTCAAAAAGATTCCGGTCTGCAACTGCCAAATTAGTGTCACCATTTACTGAGTTGGTGAAGACTCCGGGAAAGCTGATTGGGGAAGAATCAGGAGCTAGAGTTTAGACAAGTTGGAGATGCCTATGTGTGATGCTACTATAGATGCCACTTTGCATTATGGTTCCTTAGAAAATTTCAGAAGAGTACTTATTAAACATGTTTGAATGTGTTCATGTGAGGATTTCCAAGAAAATACTTGTGACAGCCCTGGCTGGTGTAGCTCAGTGGATTGAGTGCCAGCCTGCGAACCAAAACATTGCCAGTTCCATTCCCAGGCAGGGCATGTGCCTGCATTGTGGGCCAGGTTCCCAGTTGGGGGCATGTAAGAGGCAACTGGTGGATGTTTCTGTCCCTCTCTTTCTCCCTCCCTTCCCCTTTCTCTAAAATTAAATAAACAAAATCTAAGCAAAAGAAATATAGAAAGAAAATACTTATGATCTGAGTCTCAAACAAAAATGAGAACTCCATGGCCTTGTACAATAATATTGCCTGTCACCAGACATGTAGATGTCAAGGTTAAAGCCTGAACTTGCTTACCGTTTACAGCAGGAAATACCAATTTTAAAATTTACAAATTTCTCTCATATTATTTTTGACAGCTTCTCGTGTGATTACAACCCTTAATAAACATGCATTTTATTCTACAGTTAAGTTTGGCAAATATATCCCATTATTCTTAATTCTAAGGAAGGAGAAAGGTTTATTTAACTTTTTCTTTTTGAAACTACTTCATAAAATATATTGATCTTTTCTGTTGCAGAAATCCTAGAATTTTATCTTTAGCAATGTTTGTATATTCTATGTATGTGTGTACACCTTCTTGTAAACTTACCTCATTCTTCAGTGTTAATCTCTGTAGCTCTGTGAAATTGGCTTTCATGTTATTGAAGAACAATATAAACTTTCACAATACCATTCTTATCTAGTTGAGATCCTTGAATATCAAAAAAATTTTATAGGCTTTAAATTAGTACGCAGAAACATTTATGCAAATCAGTGTGAGGAAGTAGAATTAACCTTTTCATACTATTGATAGCTACTGTTTCTGTCACTCATTTTTATTCCTCCCAATTGGTTCAATTTGGGTGTTTTTGAAAAGTTTGATATTGCTGTAAGTTTCCATAGAAATCTTTATTGAGCTTAATGTCAGATGTCACTATTTAAACAAAGAGTTCATGTGTACTAAGTTGTCAGTTTGGATATTAAGGATCCCAAACCCAGGCTGAATAATTTGGGAATCACTGGTTAATTAAAAAAGTGCTTCATGCAAAAACTGTATCACTGCTTAATTAGTTGAGAATATCAAGGGATAGGAGATGTGTTGGAAAAGCACTAACTGGCACCTAAAAGCCTAACTACTAAAACAATAATAATTATGAGGATAGTGGAAAAAGTAGTTATAAAGTAAATCAAAGTCATTCTCTTCCAGGAAACACCTTCGTTGCTTACAGCATTTGGGTCATGTTTGCAATGGTGTAGCATTTTATCATTCCTGATGAGAAGTGCTGGGAGCCCCTGGGAGCAGAGAGGGTACTGCATTTGGAAACACAGCCAGAGGGTCCCACATTGTTTCCGTTAGGTGTCTGCCACGTGACCTGGCAGACTTCTGAGTCTCAATTTCTGCAACTGTAGCATAATTTCTACTTCACACAGGTGTTGTGAAAATCAAATGAAATAATACAAGTAATATATTTTACTACTTGTTGATTCTTATATAAAACTAAAGTGTACTATTAGTGTAATATCTTCCCAGAAAATAAATAAGGTATGGCGTAGGTCATCTCATTAAAATGTGTAGTTTTTGAAATTATAAATTTAACATAACTACTGTCCAGAATGTGAAAATTAGGAAAAAAAAAGTACACGATCCCTAAACAATCACCCTTACATAATGCCAATGTAGATATTTTCTTTTATTTTTTCTGTGTAGACTTTTATCATTGTTTTCTGATTACCAAAGCAATATATACTATACCTCACCATATGCAAATTGGAAATATAAAAAAAATAATAAGAGGAAGAGCATTTAGAAACTGTCTTTATGTAACCACTGATAATCACTGTTAAATTTTTTATATATTTCTACTAAATACACTATTAAGTTTGGTGTACTTTTATCTTTCTTGACATAGTTTTAAATCAAATAACAATCTTATCTTATATACTGCTTTTTAAAATGAATACTGCTTTTTCTTTTAAATTTATAAATGTATTTTTGTCATTAAAGTTTTGTATTCTTAACAGCTGCATAACATTTTGCAATCAGATAAGCTATAATTCATTAAACATTACATTCTTCCTACACTTTTAGGCTGTGTTGTGCTCTTTACAAATGAAAGAAAGAAAAAGCTTCAGTGATGTAATAACAGTTCTTCTTTCTAAACCTTTTCAT